TCTGCAAAGAAGAATACCTTTACATTAGAAATGACAGGACAAAAATACCCCCAAACAAATAAGGAGCTAGTGAGAAACCATGCAGCTCCCCTTAATGAAATACAGTCATACTGCCCAGAACCACACCCTTGTGTGTGGGCAGAGCCCGCCCAGCTGTGATACTGAAATGTCATGATAAAAGGGAAAGGTCCCAAAAGATTGGAGGACAGGGTTGCTCTGATTTTCCTCCAAAGAAAGGTAAAGAACTGTGTACAAACTATAGTCCACTGAGCTTGATAGGGATTCTTCAGGAAATTCCAGAAGGAATCATTAAAGAGATGGTTGAAGACCAAATAGAAAGGGAAGTGAAGATTATAAAGGGCCAGGATGGCCTCCTGAAGTTTCCTTGTTCAATAGCATCACTAAATTACTGGAAAAGGAAAATGATGTGGCTATAATTTGCCTATATTCTAGAAAGTTTTTGATAAAGGATCTCATACTATTCTCGTGGAGAGACAGATATATTGCCTGGATGATACTACAATAAGATGGATTCAGACTAGACTGGATTAGATTAGCTGTTAATAGTTCAATGTAGAATTTGACAGAGACTTGTGCTTGGCCCCATGCTCTCCGATATTTCTATTTGTTGTTGTTCAGTCACACCACACTCTTCATGACCCCAGGACTTTTCTTCGCAAAGATACTGGAGTGATTTGCCATTTCCTTCTCCAGCTCATTCACAGTTGAGGAAACTGAGGCAACAGGGTGAAGTGACTTACCCAGGGTCAAAAGCTAGTAAGTGTCTGAGGCCATTCCTGACCTCAGGCCCAGCACTCTATCCACCGTACCACCTAGCTGCCCTTTGGGGCTTGAAACTCAAAGAGCAGAACTGTGAGCAAAAAAACCAAAACTGTCTGCCATAATATTTTCCACAGTACATCTATACCATGGGTTATTCTTCCAAGGTGACAAACACCCTCTTCAGGTACATTGACCCATTCCCCATTTCCTTTCTCCAAGCTCAGAGAACTGGAGACAGTCACACTCTATATTAATCTCTTTCAAATTTGGGGTCTAGGACTAAAACCACAGAGGCAACTCCAAAAGAATAGTCTGAGAAAAGAACAATCCCAAGGGCTGAAAGAAGAAAGATTCAGAAGGCCTAATCTCTACTATAATACTCTTGCACACATGGGCCTTTTCCTCTTTCTTTGATCTCTCTGGGGTACAGGTGCACTACTAGCGCTATCCCTGGGACAAAGGGTATTTATTCACAGTTTAGAAACTGGGTGACGTATTTTCACATTTCTTTCCAGAACGGTAGGACCAATTCCCAGATCCACTAGTAGTGAATTAATGGGTCTTTTTCCTAGCTTGGATTTCCTCCTTTGAAAACTATTCACAAGGGGCAGCTAGGTGGTGCAGTGCATACAGCACTGGCCCTAGATTCAGGAGGACCTGAGTTCAAATCCGGCCTCAGACACATAACACTAGCTGTGTGGCTCTGGGCAAGTAAAGGGAAGGGAAGGAAAACTATTCATATGCTTTGACCATGTATCGGTTTAGAAGAGCTCTTAAAAGATACTTGTAAAGTATACTTGCAAATCTTAAAGCACTATATAAATACTACTAATTATTACTGTTACTACTACTATCAATTTGAATCAATCCCTTTGAATCTTGGGAAGACTGCTATCAGAGAAACCTGGCATAACAACGTGAAATGCTGGTCTTTAGCTTCTGCCAGACTATTTTCCAGTTTCTTGGCAGTTTTTGTCAAATAGTGAGTTCTTGTCCCAATAGCTGAGGTGTGGAGAATTTATTAAACACTAAGCTGCTGAGTTTATCTGGTTCTCTATGTTTGTATAACTAACTTGTTCCACTGATCATCCTCTCTGTACCAAGTACAGAGTACAACACAGGGAGAAGAAAAGCTGCTACACGTGGGAAAAAGAAGAGAGGAAATACTGCTGCAATGTGAGATCTGCTACCTTATCACAAAACGGAATTTTTGTGAGCCAGAGAAGAAATCAAGGTAGTCGGCCTAAGTTTTCTAAACAAAGCAGCATTAATGGATATGGAGAGACCTCAAGGGAGGCCCCAAAGCACCCACTTTTCTTTCAGATGTACAAAGGGTTACTCATCCACAAGTCATTCATTTTCCTGTTCATACAACAAGCTCAAGAAGGGCAGAAAATCTAGGAGCCCTATTTCTGAGGGACTAAAACATAAACATGTCAGAGAGTCACAAAACTGTAATGGGATTACTGAAAGAAGCGAAGAGAGCAGAGCCCTGGCCCGTATCAGGCCACCGCTAGAAGGCCACCTGTGTCCCGCTCCCACGCTCCAGGAAGTCACACTTGCTCTCTGTCTTTGTTGTTCTTGTTCGGTAGCATGACCCCATTTGGGGATTTTTTGGCAGAGATCCTAGACTGGTTTGCCATTTCCTTCTCCAGCTCATTTTACAGAGGAGGAAACTGAGGCAAGCAGGGTAAAGTGACCTGCCCAAGGCCACACAGCTAGTGTCTGAGAACTCACAAAGATGAGTCTTCTGACTCTGGACCCAGCATCACATGCATTGTGCCACTCCCCAACTTAAAATGATATGCTCTTGAAGGACAGAGACTGTGTTGTTCACCTGTAGCCAAGCACACCAACTACCACGAACTGGACAATGTGGAGCTTTAGTCAATGGAAGCTGAATGGAATAGAGAAGGCACTGAGTTTCCTAGCATGTAGTAGGTGCTTAACAAATGTTTATTGGTTCACTGATTCTTTCCAGTGTAATAACCACAGCAATAACAATTGCGGAGAGGCCAGGATCTATGCTTTGAGAGGTACAGGGAATCTCTTTCTAGTAAAGCAGATCCATACCTGCAATAGGCCTCTCAGATCACCCAGCCTGGTGTGTCTAAAGTGTCTCCTAATTACAAGGCCAGAATAAAATCCACTGTGCTATGATTCTGTGATGCTTCCCCATGAACTGTGTATGTGGTGAGCCAAGGGGGAACACAACAGACAGAAGGAATGACACTTGAATCCATGTTGCTAGGACAATGGATGACTAAAGAATTGGGGTGAGCAGGTCAGATTCCATGGCTCCATGACTCCACTGATGTGGAAGATTCATTCAGCTGCACAGCCTGTTACGGTGTATCCCATCAACAATCTTATGGCTCTCCTCACCATTCCCGGGACTTTCCAGACCAAACTCCCCTCCCTCTATGGCTTCCTCCCTTATGTATGGTATCTTCTCTTTTAGAATGTGTGCTCCCTATAAGCAAGGGCCATCTTACTTCTCTCCCCAGCGTCAACTACAGTGGCTAGTGTAGAACAGGGACTCAAATAATTTTTCATTCATTTCACTGAATTTTTCATTCATTTCACTGATTCTTTCATCATAATCCCTATACACTTCAGAAATTGGGCTTCAACAGTTGCTGTGGCCAAAAGTTTCCACTGCCCAGTGGACAACCTAATGGTGATTATCCTCTCTGAACAGAGTCCAGCTCGTGCTCAGAAAGCAGACATGGTTCATTAACACACTGCCAGGCCAGAGGAGAAAAACCCTTCCCAGTTTGGTATGCCCTTTGCAAATCCATATACAGTACAAGTTCAACTCCACACCACGATTAGGGCACCAGAGGATGACATGAGTGGAGAACGTTTCATGTAAAAGATGTGAGACTAGTCAAAGCATTACGCATGAGAAAACTAAAAATAAACACATAAACTGCTAAAACATGGGAAACCACCTCCCACCAGGTTGCAGAGGAAAGGGAAACTTATGAAGCCTGAAGAAATCATTTTGGTAGCCATATGGAGGATACAGTAGAAGAAGTAGAAAACTGAGGAAGACAGACACAGTGGGAGGTTAGACGAAACACAAAGTGACGAGGGCCTAGCTGAGCAGTGGCAGTTTAACCTGTTTATTGGGGGAAAGGCAGAGGAAAAAACCTAAGGCTTGGCAGTCTCCTTCAAACTCTCCTCTCTCCCACCACCATTACCTAGTGCTTCCTTCTCAGGAATCGGACTAAAGGCTTCCACCTTAAGCATGCATAAGCACAAATCTCTGAAGCCACATGACCTTGCTAATTTGGTACGTGTCCCATAGGACATGACCAAATCCCTCAACTAATTAGAACATACCTCCTACCAACGTTACTCCAATGCACTTACCTGAAAAATGTATCAAGGATAAGTGAGGTGAAATGATTGATCATATCATCATCCTTACTTACACTGAAATCCTAAATACAAAAAGCCACAAAGAGTTCCACCTGCTCTCTGAGGCTTGGCCTGCAGACCACCACCGGCAATAGAATCAAGAAAGCTACACTCTGCTGAATCAATATGGTGTTCTCTCTGAATAACCTTCTTGAATGTCCTTTCCCTAATATGGCTAAGTCAACCCTCTTTTGTTAACTGTCAGAGCTTCCATAAGCATTTAATTTCATTACAACCTCAAACCTGAGGTAACAGACCAACTTGGTCATCCTGGGATACTATGGAAGTATGAAAAGATTGCTTTGCTTCAATAGGGGCCCAGTTGAGATGAGACAGTATCACTTTATAAAGGGTCCTACCAATATTACATCTTGGATCTTTTCAGCAGCATGTTCTTAGGAGTAAAGGAGCTAGGTGGTGGAAGTAATGAGGGCTTGGTGTTTGGCTAGGTGTGGTCAGCAACAGGACAAAAGGGCACGGGATTAAAGAGGAGAGGATTATATGGAGTTAAATCAGTTCACCACGGTGTTGAGACTAAGAAGACAAGAATACAGGCAGTGCAAGACTGCTGGCCTGTTGAAGACTTAGGAAGGGGAGGGATAGGAGATCACTGTGAGAAGGAAGAATTCTCGCCGAATGAAATCTTTAGATGGTCATTACTCACTCATAGGGAAAAAATAGATTAAGATAGATTTCACTCTCTCCAGGCAACATAAACAATAAGAAAATGTCAGAAAACAAGTTCAATTTATTAGTTATAACAATAAATGTTAATGGTTTAAATTCCTTCATTAAGTAAAAGTTATAGAATGAATCCAAGAAACAAAACAAACAAAAAAAACCCCAAATGTATCATATTACTTACAGAAAAATAACAAATGCATATATATTCATATAAATATAAAACTAACCTAAGTTAGAGGTGGCTAGTTCCGAAACCCCATTCCCTACCTACCTACCTACACACACACACACACACACACACACACACACACACACACACACACACACACAAAAATCCTCTGATGAGTGAGGTTGTTATTGTATGAGAAATCTTTCAGACATCTATTACTTTTCTATGAATTCATTCCAATATGAATCCTCCAATGTTTCCACCTCCCCCACTGACAAAAAGTCCCAGATCCCATCCCAGGGATGCCTAGAGGGTCTCAAAACATCTGTCCACTACAACTCTATTTCTCCCTTTTCCCAATTCTACTCCAGTCTGTTGATGCTTTTCCCCACTTTTCCCCTCTAGGCAAGACCCTGAACCTTCACCTCCTCCCTAATTAATAAGAATCTGGAATCCTCTTTTTATTTTGACCCTTAGACTCACTCTCACATTCCTTTTCAGAAACTGTTTTCAACTAGCAAGTATTTTTGTTTTCCTCCCACCTCTGGGGGGGGGGTATAGTAAAGAAAAACAAAAATTTCTAAAAATATTTGTCTTGTTTTGCATATTTAGTATATCACCTCTTCATCAAGAGGTGGGCAGCATTCTTCATCACTAGAATTCTAGAAGCATGGTTGGTCATTGTGTTGACCAGAGCTATTAAGCCTTTCAAAATCGTTCATTTTTTAATGATGATGATGATGATGACGATGTATAAATTCTTTTCCTGGTCCTGCTCGCTTCACTCTGCAGCAGTTCATACATGCCTTGTCAGGTTTCTCAGAAATCATGCCTTTCATCATTTTATTTAGCAATATAGTATTCCATTACATTCATATGCCATAATTGTTTTCAACCATCCCCCAATTGCAGGTACTCCCTCAGGATTCAGGTCTTTGCCACCACAAAAAGAAATGTTACAAATAGTTTTGTATATATGGGTCCCTTCTCATTCTCTTTTATAAAGTCTTTGGGAGTATAGGCCCAGATCACAGTTCCAAATAGCTTTCCTAAATGTCTGGACCAGTCACACTTAGTTCCACTAATAAATGCATTAATGGACCTATTTTCCCACAGCCCATCCAACATTTGTCATTTTCCTTTTTTTGGTCAACTTTACCCATCTGATGGGTGTGAGGTTGAACCTGAAAGTTGCCTAATTTACATTTCTCTAATGATTTACTGGGGGCATTTATAAATGGTTATCAAAAGCTTGGGTTTATTTCCTTAAGAACTATTTGTTCACAATTTATCGAGTCCACACCACTATTCCCGATACTGGGAGCATTCTTTGCGGGGAAGGGACCCAGGTATATGCTAAAGACTTCTGCACCTTGCCACTGGAACTATAGGTGAACACTTGGGAACTGTTGTGCCTTTCCATTCTCCCTACTGCAGAACTTTCTAAGTGTACTCCCACCTCCAATTAAATTCAAAGATCCTTAGAAACAAAAATTATCTTTTTATTTATTTGTGTATTTGCTCTTAGCACTGTGTTTGTTGGCACATAAGAAACTCTTAACAAATGCTTTTTCCTTCATTCATTTCTGATGTCTAACAAGGTTCGAACTGCCACAGAAGCCTTTCTCACACTCATGACATTCATGAGACCTCTTCAATATGAATCAACTGATAATGAATAAAGTTTGAGCATTTACTAAAAGCCTTCCCCGAATTCCTTGTATTTATAAAATTCTATTCAGTATGAATACTTTGACACTTAACAAAGGTTGAGTTCTCAGTAAATTACTTCTTATATTCTTTACGTCAATGTTTTCTCTCCAGTACAAATTCTCAAGTGTTCCACACGGGTTGAATTCTGAATCAGTGCTTTCCCCAGTTATTTATATTTCTGGGACTGATTTTGAGTATCATTCAGCAGATGTTCAATAAGTGTTAAATTCCGAATTAATGCTATCTCTTACTCTTTATATTTTTCAGCCTTCTCTCCATTATGAATTCTTTGATGCCGAAAGACATGTGAGGAGTAGGTGAATACTTTCCCACATTCGTAACATTTATAAGGCTTCTCTCCAGAATGAATCCTCAGATGTTGGACTAAGTGAGACTTCTGAGTGAAGGCTTTCCCACACTCACTGCATTTATAAGGCTTCTCTCCAGTATGAGTCATTTGATGTACAATAAGGGTTGACCTCTGAATGAAGGCTTTCCCACATTCCTTGCATGTATAAGGCTTCTCTCCAGTATGAATCATCTGATGTACTATCAAGGTTGAGCTCTTGATGAAGGCTTTCCCACATTCGCTGCATTTATAAGGCTTCTCTCCAGTATGAATCCTCTGGTGCTTAACAAGATCTGACCTTTGAATGAAAGCTTTCCCACACTCACTGCATGTATAAGGCTTCTCTCCAGCATGAAACATCTGATGGGCAATAAGAGTTGAACTCTGAATGAAGGCTTTGCCACATGTGTTACATTTATAAGGCTTCACTCCAGTATGAATCCTCTGGTGCAGGATAAGGCTTGAGTTTCGAGAGAATGATTTCTCACATTCATCACATTTGTAAGGCTTCTCCCCAGTATGACTCCTCTGATGGAGAACAAGGCTTGAACTGTGAGTGAAGGCTTGTTCACACTCATGACATTTATAACATTTCTCTCCATTTTGAGTCTTCTGATGCTGAGTCTTTTTTCTCACACCACTCTCCTTGTTTACCTGCTGCCTCTTTCTCTGGCTCTCTCTTTCCCCACATCCCCTAAAAGTGGAGTGGCAAAGATCCGCCCCTCTGAATGTTTCTACTTTCACCCCCTGGGATGACTCTTCTCCCGGAATGTTCTCTTTTGGAGTTGCCTCCGTGCTCTCAGTCCTAGGCTCCAAGTCTGAAAGACATTAATATAAAGTATGAATGTCCCCAGTTCTGTGAACTGGGAGCAAAGAACCTGGGGATAAGATCATGCAATGGAAAATGACACTCAGATAAAGCAAATGGTGTTGAGTGTGCTCAAACACGGCCTTGGAAAAAATGGGTAAAGGCAAGGAAGGGGTAGTAAGTAAGCATCTAATAAGGTGGGAGGTAATTCAACTGTGAATACAAGGTGAGAACAGCAGGTGAGGAAAAATTAGTTAGAAAGAACAGAAAGCAAGGTGTGCAGAACAGGTCAGAATAAGCTCACTCCCCCGGCCTTTGATGCATGAGTTAACAATGCATTCAAGAGCAAAGGCTGGGGAGATAAAAACATACAGGAAAAAACCAGAGCTCAGGGGAATCCTACACATCCTCATTAGCTCAAGACTAAGAGCATAAGATCACTAAGTGAAGACAGCATTGTGTAACAGAAAGTCCCTTGGATTTGGAATAAAAAGCCTAAAATCAAACCCTAGCCCCATCTCTTACTATCTTTGTGACCTTGGATCTCTCATGGCTTAAGTTTCCTCATACACAACACGAGAGAAACTTTACCAAAAGAATCTCTTCATCCACTTCTCTGCCATTCTGAACACTGGTGCTGGCACATAAAATGAAACGTGACACATCTGGTGGTTTTGAGGATGGCCAAGTGCTTTCATTAATTGGTCATAACCACCATAGGTGAAGGTACCATGTGGCATGTTATCCCTATTTGGTAGATGAGGAACTGGATAAGGTTGACAGAATTTCAGTGACTTGGCCAGGGTCACATAGTACATCAATAAAAGCTGACACTTTCTGCGTATTTTCTATACTTCCTCCTAGCAACCTTGGGGTCAGTAAATCATATTTACATGAAACCCCTGCTAGAACCAATTTCCTGCTCTCAGAATTGATGTTTTTCTCTGATCACAGTCTGCATCACTGAGTGCCAAAGAGAGACAGAAATGTGGCGTGGAGCCCCAGGAATAATACGGCTGACAAAGGCCATTCTCTTAACAGCACTTATTCTCGCTGTATCATCATCATCCCAGGGACACAGCACTTCTCTGTGAAAACACTGAGCAGTATCCTGGAGCAGCAAGGTAAGCAACAGATTTTTCTAGTGCTGTGTACTGGGGAGTATACAGAGAAGAAAGAGAAGACCCAGAACCTATGAGACATTCACAGGAAGCTGTAGTGACGAGGATGAAGATTCAATAAAAGAGTCAGAGGAATGGTAAGACAGATAGGAAGAGAACCAATAGTGACAAGTGTCATGAAAACCCACAGAGGAGAGTACGGTCAACGATGTCAGATGATGCTGAAAGGTCAAGAAGACTGAGGACTGAGAAAATAAACTCGGTCTGTCAATTAAGAGGTCACTAGGAACACTGGGACCCTGAAGTAGGCCCTCATCGCCTCGTCCCTCACCTACTGCGATACAGTCTAGTCAGTCTCTTCGCCTCGTCTGCCCCCTCCAAGCCAACCTCCACACTGCTGCCAAAGTGCAGATCAAACCATGATGACCTCCTCACTCGTGAACTCCACTCCACCTCCGTTTAGCCTTTTAAGCTCTTCATAATCTGGTCCCTGCTTATTTTCACAATCTTCAGTTCCCTCCATGTACTCTATAACCCAGCACCACTGAACCTGCTACATCTTCCACAGGGATCATCATCCCTTGAATCCACAACTTTTCCCTGGTTCTGACCAGAAAGCTTTGCCACTTGGATCACCAGCGCTCCTTTAAGACTCAGAGGCAATCCCAAATCCTCCAAGAGGCTCCCTTACACGTGGTGCTCCACTGCCACCCCCTGACCTCTTCTTGGAGATTACTTTACATTTCACCACATGATTTACACATACAGTTATGAACGCTGTCTCACTCATTAAAATGAGTCTCTTTAGGGCAAGGCCCTTACTTTTGCCCAGCTTTATATCCCCAGCACTTATCACAGTATCAGGGGTGCCGGAAAACATTTAACAAATGTTTGTTCACTGATTAGAGGGCAAAGTTTCACTTGAATGATGCCAAGCTAAGCCTCAGGGCAGAGGCTTTAGAAGAATTACAGGACCTCAGGAACTATCAAGGCCAACTATCAAAAGAACCTTCCCTATGACATACCCAAGCAATGGTCCCTCAACCTCTGATCAAGAAGACTGCTAAGGAAGTGGAACCCACTGACCCTCAAGGCAGCTTCTTACACTTATAGAGAAATAAAATGTAAAGGAAGTTTGTCCTGATGTGACTCCTGTATTTACTTCTTTGTAAATTCCATGTGTTGATCCTTATTCTGTCCTCTGAGGCCAAACAGAACAAACTGAATACCTCTTCCACATATCAATCCTTCAAATTCTTTAAAGATAACTTTTATTTCTTCCCTTCTTCTGGATGCTCTTCAGCTTATCTACAATATCTTTATATCATGAACCCTGAAACTAATGCCAATATCCAGACAAGGTGTGACAAGGGGGGCTGACACCTCCTATTTCTCTAGTGATTTCTCTACAAGGACAGTATGATACTTTATCAAAAACTTCACTACTCTAAGTAAACTATGTAAAGTGCATATCTTCATCTAATTTAGCAATGCTGTCCAAATTAAAGCTGATGAAAGCCATCCTAGTTCTTTGTTATCACCACCTCCCTCTCTATTTGGTCACCAAACACCTCTTTTAGTGATCTATTCTAGAATATTCCCAGGAATCAAAATCACTGGCCTATAGTTTGTCATCTGTTTTCTTCCATTTTGAAAATCAGGATGCCCTTCCCAAATCTCATGGTACCTCTCTCATTTTCCATGATCTTTCCTTCAAATATCACAGACAGGACACAGCAATCACATCTGCCAATTATTTCAGGGAACTAGGATGTGGTCCATCCACATCAGGTGACCTGAATCAGTTGAAGGCAGCTACTATCTACCTGCCTTCTACTTGACCACTCCACCCCTTCTAGCTAGCAGTGGGAGTTGGGTTTGGGTGAGGGGACCACCTGGAATCCCTCCAAGGAAGTGCCTTCCCTGGCTGGATAGCTGCGTAAAAGGTTCTTTCTGAAGTAAAGGTAAAGTAAATTCATCTTAAATAATAGATATTCAATTTTAAAATATGTAAACAAGATAAACTACCCTCTATCCCTTTATCACATTCAAACTCCTCTTTAATTGGATCAAGAAGGAAACTGTCTTCAGCATATAAACTTTCCTGATTTCCAGAACTGCAGGTGCCTTTCCTTCCAAACTTGCAGTTTGTTCGTATGCTATATATAAATACATACACATATGCTTATACATGTGTTGTTCAGATACATGCATACACAGATATGTTTATTAAGTGTATACATCTGGATACGCATTTTTGTCTCCCCTATTAGAATGTTAGTTTACTGCCAGGAGCGGTTATTTCATTCTTTGTTGTATCTCCAATACCAAGCAGACTGCCAGGCACATATCAGGCCAAAATAGGCACTTCTCAAATACCTGTTGAACTTAACCATGCCCCTAGGGGCTTGAAATTGCTGGGGAAATTTCATTAGTGTTTCAGTCAATAGGTAGAAGATTCTAGGCTTGGGAGTGCCTTGAGGAGACAGACCTTCCTTCAGGCCTGTTTAAAGGGGCCTTGAAGGGGGTAGGGACAACAGCAGAGGACCCAGGTGGTTTGTTTCTCCCCCCTCTCATGTTGTCATCCCTGTCATCTGAGACACTGAACAAGCACTGCAGATAATACAGCTAGAGGACACGCCAAAGAAAAACTTGCACAAACAGGGACATAAACAGATACAGTCAGATAGCCACCAGAGGGAAGAAGAAGTTTCAAAGTATATGGCCTAATGCACCAGGGATGAATGCCAGCTATGAACAAATACAACAATTTCTCAGTAACCACGAGTTCTGACTTTACCCTTTGGCTACCCTGTAGTCTCTATTTATGGTGCCTCAGCACCATCACACTCTAAATGTAATCTCAATCTTCTCATGGGCAGAGTACGCCTCAGACTTTTGGATGAAATATTCTATACCAACTGCCCAAGCTCACCGAGACTATTGCCTGGTGATCAATGGGAAACACACTAATGGAGGCCCATAAGTGACATTATCAAAAAATGCCCACCTGAGTCAAGCCTCAGACCCGCAGGACCCGCCCTCCGGAGACCTGGCCCACCAACTGGGGGGAGGGGGTGGTAAAGGGACCGAGATAGGAGTGGGCCCACATTAACAACAAGCTGGAACCTGATTATCTTTATCTTCTACCCATCCACGGTTCCTTGCCTGATGGGGCTTAGTTCCTCTGAAGGAAGAGAGGGATTCCATGAGGCGCAGGTGACAGTACGGTCTTCTAGGCATGGAGGACAACTAATGTACACATGGCAGGTGGAGATGGGCGATGGCAGAGGGAGGAGGATGGACGTGTGTGAGGAGCACAAAGAGGACAGTGTGGCTGGATGGCGGACTGCAGGAGGTGAAGCCAGTTCATTGAGGTTGGGTTTTAAAAGGGCTTTGAAAGTTAAACAGGAGTTTAAAGACTTGAGGCAGGGCGACCAGAAAGAAGGCTACTGCCACAGTCCAACTAGAGCTGATGAAGGCAGGAACTATAGAGGGAGTTGTGTGAGGTGAGAAAGTAGAAATTATAAAATGTGACAAAAGACTGGATACGTGGGCTGAATTTCAATAAGGAGTTGAAGATGACACTGAGGCTGTGAGATACTAAGTGGATGGTGGTGCCTTCAACAATAACAGGAAAATTCAGAAGGTAGAGGAGACACAATGATGAGTTCTGTTATGGACATTTTAACTTTGAGATACCTACGAAGCACATGGTTTGAGATGTCCAAAAATCAGTTGGGGAGGTGGGTCTGGAATTCAGGAGAGAGATTAGGGCTAGATATGTAGATCTGGGAATCCTCTGCTGAGAGATAACAACTGATGAGTTCTCCAAATGAGATAATGAAAAGAAGAGGGCAGAGGAGAGAGCCTTGAGAGGGTAGTTTCA